ATATATATATATATATATATATATATTTATTTATTTATTTGCTATAATGTGTATACGTCCTTCACGTATTTGGCAGTGGCGTATCTAGACTGTAATTCAAAACATGGAATAATTTTAAAAGTAGGCCTACTAGAAACCGTTCAAAACCTTAGTTACACTGTGCATTTTGGCATTGGCCTTTTCGAAATAAACAGAATGAATGAATGAATGAAAATAAAAAAAAAATAAAATCTCATCATTTGCTTTGGATAGATTCGCCCTTGTTATAGCTCGCAGTAAACGCATCCGCTCGAACTAGCATTCGCTCGAAGTTGAATAAGGTGCATCCATTGATACGGCATTGATTCCGATTCCAACTTTCTTGTTTTTTGCCGGACTGGTAGCATGTGTCCCAATTAAAGCCCAGTACTGTAGTACAGCTGCAGTTTGATTACATTACATTCACACTAATTGTCCTTTTTTTCTAGACTATAAACATTAAACAAATATAGGCCTATTATAAGACATTTTGTACGCCGTGGCAGAGATACGACAGTACCGTATATCTTATAACTTCCACCAGCGTGACGACATCGTTCGAAAAGGTGTTCGCTGTGAACCTGCTTTCCTGCCGAGTTGTATAAAAAAAATAGCTCACGGGGCACAAGAAGTCCATAATTGAGCAAGTAAAAATTAAAATGCGAAGACTCGGAACAGTTAATGGCAATCGTCTATCGCATTCCATAAAGCAAACCAATAGAACTTACAAGTGATTGTTAGTACAGTCACCCAAAGATACGGTATTCAAGGGCGCAGATCTGTTTTGAAATGGGGAGGGGAGGAGGGGGGTAGGGTGGAGACATTTCGTGAGGCCGCACCCACCTCAAAAATGGTGCGAAAATTTGAGAAAATAGTACCTGAGATGGCCGGATCACTTTTATATATGTAAAATTCATTATCATCACATCATCTTTAATTACATATTTTATTCAAAATGAAGCGCCAACAAATTTCTCATGATCTTTTATCAGCAATTTTCCGTAACCATATAGACATCTAATTATGTATGAATGTGTGAAGTAGCTTAGAAAATAAAACTCTTTGATGTATTTACTTTACCTGCTTCAAAGCCGTGGGTCCAGATACATGCAAACAATTCTCATCATCTTTTATCGGCGATTTTCGGCAATCATAGAGATCTAATTAATATGCGTGATGTGCATAGAAAATAAAAGTTAAACATTATCTTTGACGTATTATTTTACTTGACCTACTTTAAAGCCGTAAGTCCACAACCACCTCAGCCCCACCAAGGTTGGGGCTGAATTGGAAAACTTTAGGAAATAGCTCTAGATGGCCGAAAATGATACATTGTAGGCTTATATATTCATTGACACATCACCATTATAGTAAAAATGAAGCGCCAACGATCTTTTATGAGCGAGTTTGGGCACACCATAGAGATCTAATTAATGTGTGATGTACCATAGAAAATAAAACGAAAAAACACTATCTTTGATGTATTTAATTTACTTTACCACCGTACCTCAAAGCCGTGTTTACCACAGTTAGGGCTGAGATGAGAAATTTGAGAAAATAGTACCTCAGATGGCCAGGAATGACACTTTTATATAGTAAAATTCATCATCATCACATCACTATTATAGCGCCAGCAAATTCTCGTGATCTTTTATCAGCAATTTTCGGCAACCAAAAGACCTAATTATTATGTGTGATTTACCTTAGAAAATAAAGCTCAGAACATTATCTTCAATGTATTTACTTTACTATACTTCAAAATAGTTGGGGCTGAGGCCGGTAAAATTTTGGGAAATAGTACCTCTAGATTGCCGGACACGACACTTTTATGTACCGTAGTAAAATTCATCATCATCTATCTAATTATTTGCTGTGATGTAATAAAGCTTAATTGGTTTTTTTTTATGTATTTACATTTAATTCATGTGCCGAAAACCAATCTTATCTTTACAGGCTTTTTCTCATAGGCCATACTTCTCAAATTATAAAGGAACGCACATTTTGTGCCGTGTATAGGTAATTCAGATGTTTGTGGCATGGGCAGAGTATCTTGCTATAAAATAAGATTTACCGTACTCTGGCTGTACAGCGCTCTTTCGTTAAAACCTGGGCCATGCAACCTCGTTTCAACTTTTCAGGCATCTTCTTAACTTATAAAATTACATTGTAAATGAAAAGAGAGGGGACCCCACCCTTAAAAATATGGGGACGTGTCCCTCCTGTCCTTTATGATCCACACTAGAACAAAAAGTTCAACCTTTGCTTTTTTTTTGAATGCCAACACGAGCTTTTATTAATTTGGAAAGGAGAAATCATCATTGTTTGTTTCTTGGTAGTCGGGCTAAAATATTGTTTTTCAAGCTTTTATATTAGTCGTATTACTTTCTCATTAATTTTCATGTTTTATTCAGCTCGATACCGTATCTTATCTTGTTAATCTGATAATCAATCAACGATAAAATTAAAAAATAATAAATTAGATGGTTTAGAATTGATTTTTTGTTTTATTCTTAAGGCCTTTGAAATCCAGGCATCAATCCTGTACTTGTTCTAAGCAACTTTCCATTAAAATATTACTAACATCACCACTAACACTATCGATACTCAATAAACAAAAAACACACACAAAACATCAACTTATAATGTGCATTGGCTAAAATTCAGACCGGGGGAGATTAGATTTTTTTTTTCAGTAGTGAACGAAACATTTGCATGAAACTAAACTCGGGCCGTCTCGGATATACTCGACTCGAGTTCGATACGATACTGAGTTTAAATTAAATGTCTCCCTTATTTTCGGGCGTCTAAAAAACAAAACTTTCGCAGGGACATGCCCCGAACCCCTAGGGTTTTTATTGGCCCCACTTTCAGCCACCCCCTCCACCTTTCGGACATCTCAGGATCTGCCCCTGAATTTATATATGTAAAATGCATTATATAGGCCTATAGGCCTAGGTAATCTATTCAATTATGTTAATGAATTATATATCAATAATTATGTTAAATTAAAAAATTACACTTGGTGCCACATAAAAATGTGACATGACGTTATATAGGCATATTCCATTTTGTTTTGTTATTTTCTTCTGGCTGGTATTTTACTATATTTCATTGTTTTGTTTCATGCCTGATTGAATAATGTAGTGTAGCAAATAGTAAAGATCGTATAGCGCCGCTGTGTACTACTACACGCAGAGTCGAGTCGGGCAACGAAAGGATGGCGAGGACGAATGATTGGTAAGATAAGACGATTGCATCTTACTTTATATGTTATGTGAATTTTAGAATGTGTGTCAGACTCTTTTTGTTTGAAATTGAACAGTTAAGTCAATTAAATAGTAATAGTATGCTAATAAAATAATGGATGGGAGATTGTGATAATTGAAGTTTAAGAAAGACGGAAGACGTGTTGACATTCCTTCACTGTTTGTGTTTAACCAGGAGGTATACCTCCATGGGGTTAACCAAGTTTAAAACAGCAACTTCCTGGCCTGGTGCGACTCGTCGTATGGATGTATGAAGGCAAGGCCTACAAAACTAAGGCCTAGATCTTGGTAGGACTCGTGGCTTGACATGGCGGTTAATTTTACTGCTTTGAATAGTGAACGGGGCATGGAGTTTTACTTTTAATTGAACTCAATACTCATCTTAGACTTTGTCTTCTTTACAGTATATAGGGCAACTTATGTGCATCATGTAAGAAATTATGATGAATGTTGATGATAATATACTAATCACTATTCATTTTCATTTAAAAATACATGAAATTTGTTTCTTTGAGTTGATAGACAAGAAAGTTAACTTACTATATAAAACAAAACTGAATGAAAGGACAAGACAATTATAATAACATACAACATGACCCAAACATTGTTGTTTCCAGTGTGCTTCCAAAAACCGCCAAGAACTGCTTTTACACCAATTTGTTCTCAGTTTCAATTAAATACGTTTATATATGATCCGTGTCTGGCCATAAAAGCAATGTGTTTTGTAGCCAATGCCCTTGAGAAAATTTTCTGTGAAACAAGGGAGTATGGAAAATGGCCATTCAACATAAATATTTACCTCAAACTTCCAAAGGGTACTAATTTATTTGCTAGTGAAATTTGCAATTTTACAATAACTGGCATCTTTATTCAGCATTTTAATATTTTATAAATTACAGTAGCACAGTTGCCAACTTTTCCCAAAAGAAATCCATGAGGACTTGCATTACGTAGCAACGAGCCACTGGCTGGGGGACAGTGGGAGCTGGGGCCTTTGACGCTTACACAATCTGAGCATTTTCACTACTGATTTGATTGATTTTGGACACTAAATTAAGTCAAGTGTATGTATGTAAACTTAATAAAACCAAAAAGCTATACTCATTTAAATTTGACCAAAGTATAGTACTGTACTTTAAACTTAGGATGAGTACCAGACAGTTGCTTGGTGTAAAATTAAAACATTTTTTACGGACTCACTTTATTCATGAATCACGATGTACAGACCATGCGCATACTTCCATGTGGAAAACAGATAAACAAACAAGCAAACCATGGACGGTGCATTACTGGGTAATAAAAGCACACTGACGGTAGCGAGCGTAAGGGCGTCGTTTGTTTACGATTCTAACGTCGAGCGTACTGGGCTGGCACATTGCCTAGGGTTACTCTTTGCTACACTATAAACAATACGGACGAATGGCGAATAATCTATTTATTGCATATTACTGTATGCAGTTCGCAAATCATTGTTTATTACTTAGTTTAAAAATCATGATCCGTGAGTAAAATGGTCAATGGTCATATATCTATATAGCGCCTTCCACAGAAAACCATCTCAATTTGCACTTTTGAAGCCACAAGAAACAAAGACAAAAGAACGTGAAGGGGGTGGGAGAGCACACCCCCGATTTTGAGATAGCGTCGCCATCACTCCGTGAGTTTTTGTTCATTCGTAGTAAAACTGGTAAATGATAAATTATCCGTGAGTCTCACGGCCAGTCCATATAAGTTGGCAACTATGCAGTACTATCCTGATCTATTATTGCAATTAATAAAATTGTATCTTTTGTCTGGATATTTTATCTATGGGATAATATTTTTTTTTTACTTGAAAAAAATGTACTATGTCCATATTGAACAAATAAAATTGAATCTGAATCAACAAATTCAATAGATAAATATTTCATTGAAATTTATATTTTGTTAAACTTGACATTAAAACAGATGATGTTTTTTAAATCTTGATTTTTTAAAATTTCTTAATGTCATCTCAGGTTTCTTCAGCTTGTTTAAGGCAATGGACACAGGCAATAACAGGGCTAGAAGTGACAATTAGCTCTCCTTCAATCCTGTCAATTACTTCCTCAAATGGTTTTAGTATTTCACATATAATTCCTCAATTGTTTTAAACTCGTATTCAATGAGTAGGATCTCTCCTAGAACTGATCAGATTATCTTGACCTGGTTGTTCCAGCAGCATCACCAACCTGTAAGCTTGTAACTACAGTGTAGTTCTCCTATTGCAGTAACCAACCAGAATGGATGCTTTGGCCATTATCTGTTGCATTGGTGCAGCTTCTGATCCTGATAGGCTATCTCTGACGAGTTGTAATGTGTGTGCAAAGACTTTGCTGGGGTTTTTACCGGGGAATTTTTCCTTTGGCCATTTTTCCCTGGGCCCTTTTTACCGGGGGGCCATTCTTACTGTACACCATTGGGAACCTTGTTTGCAATATCATAACTAGTGTTTCTTTGTACATTTTAAGAATTTTCTCAGCAGTGTGTTTGCCCTATAGACGGCGACATCCCAACATAACAGAATGCTGTTTGTAATCCAGAATGAAATGGCCCATTATTCCTATGAAGGTTTTCATTTCATTGCTGGACCACAAAATCCAAGGAGAGACCGATATTTTGAGTCAATTGTATCTGAGATTTGAGTTTACTCTGGATGGTAGCATATTGTTGTGGTATTAGGATTCTGCTGAGGTAGTCTATGCTTGGGATGTTAAAGCTTGGCTGTGCTACATGCCAGATATCACAGAAGCTTGTAACTGTACTTTCCACAATGGATAGAGAAAGAAAGTTGTTGGCAATGAAGCTTTAACCAGCTTGTTGTTGAGCTGAATCCGATGGGAATATCATGGTTCCTCCACTTCAATTGTTCAGGTTCTGGCATGAACTCTGTCATGCTTTGTTTATATATTGATGCTTGGGTATCAACTTCTTGAAGGATCTGTGTGTGCCTCCTCTGAAAATGCAAGAGGGTAGAATTTTTTAAATTGTATTATCTCCAAACTATACAGAAAAAAAAACAAAGCACATGAATAATCAAAATCAAATTTAATATATTCTAATAATAATGATAATAATTTATTCAATAATAATGATAATAATTTATTCAATAATAATGATAATAATTTATTCAATAATAATGATAATAATTTATTCAATAATAATGATAATAATTTATTCGGCTACACTTTTATATCTTTTATATATGGCGAGTTGATTGGCCGAGCGGTTAAGTCAGGGGCACCGTGACCTTCAGCTCTAATATCGGCGTTGGTTCGAACGGCTCACTCGCCAATGGTTCCGGTGGTGGAACAAGTCTTCTCGGATAAGGAC